TTTACACTCGGACCAAAATAATCTGGACTAAAAGTTTCTGAATTAAAATAGAGCTGATTCAGAAGGATCTGTGAGCATGTCATCTTTTTAAACATATGATTTCCTATAGTATACTCACTTTAGCAAGTCACATCTTATGATAAAATACTGTTCTTAGAAGTTGTGGTCTCCAAATGAAAACTTTAGAAAGGGCTGGTGTGGGTTATAGTTTGCTATCTAGTGATAACACTATATATAGTGATAACTCTGTGTGTGTGCATGCATAGTGAAAACACTATATAAGAAAAGCTATTGGCCAATTGTGGTGGGTCAAGCCTGTAATCCTAGCTACTTCAGAGAAAGAGAGAGAGAGGGAGAGAGAGATCTAGAGGATTGTGGTTCGAAGCCAGCCTGGACAAAAAGTTCACGAGACCCCCCTATCTCAATCAATGGCTGGGTGTGGTGGTGAGTGCCTGTCATCCCAGCAACAAGGGGAAGCATAAATAGAAGGATTGAGGTCCAGGCTGGCCTGAGCATAAAGCTATACCCTATCTCAACCCAACGTAAGTGGGGCGCCAGTGGCTCACACCTGTAATCCTAGTTACTCAGGAGGCAGAGATCAGGAGGATTTTGGTTCAAAGCCAGCTAGGGCAAATAGTTTGTGAAACCCTATCTTGAAAAAACCCATCATAAAAAAACGAAACAAAACAAAAGGACTGTTGGAGTGGCTCAAGGTGTAGGCCCTGAGTTCAAACTCCAGTACTGCAAAACAAAACAACAAAAAACCAACAACCATCACAGAAGAAGGGTGGCTGGTGAAGAGGCTCAAGTGATAGGGTGCCTGCCTAGCAAGCACAAGGTCCTGAATTCAACTCCCAGTAGAGAGAGAGAGAGAGAGAGAGGCCATCTGGATAGAAAGAACTCTGGAAAGGGTCTTGGAACACAGATTGTAAGATCCGAACCAGGTGCCTCACTCTGATCATGTTGCTATACCAAAATATGTTAGGTAATTTATAAATGATAGAAATTTCTCACAGTTCTGGAAGATGTGACATTCAAGCTCAAGGTGCCTAGAGATGTGGTGTCTGATAAAGTCTCTGCTTTCAAGATGGCACCTCTTGCTCTGTCCTCACAAAGTGCAAAAGGATCCAGGCAGCTCTCTGAAGCCTTTTTTATTTATTTTTAGTCTTTTCTTTCTTTTCTTTTTTTGCAGTACTGGGCTTGAACTCAGGGCCTACACCTTGAGCTACTCCATCAGCTCTTTTTGTGATGGGTATTTTCAAGATAGGGTCTCACAAACTATTTGTCCGGACTGGCTTCAAACCAAGATCCTCCTGATCTCTGCCTCCTGAGTAGCTAGGATTACAGGCATGAGCCACTGGCACCCAGCTTATATTTAGACTTTTTGAAATAGGGTCTCATTATGTAGTCCAGATTGGGCTTGAATTTATGATCCTCTAGCCTCAGCCTCCCCAGTGCTGGGATTACAAGCATGTACCACCATGCCTGGTTGAAACCTCTTTTATAAAGGCATTAATCCATTCATGAGGACAAAACCCTCATGACCTAATTATTGTAGCAATTATTGGAGTCCCTGTGTGTTCCTCTCTCAGGATCATAGAAGAATCCCAGAATGTGGTGTAAGGAAACAAGGGAGGACTGGCATTTTAGTCCAGTGTGGCTGCCATTGCTGCTACTGCAACCCAGTGCTGCTGCTGAACACCTGCCCTCAGGCTAGGGTGCTCTAGGATGCCACTCCAGAGCCCAATACACTTGCCACCCTCACCCCCACCTCCCAACCCTGTTTGCCCCTGGAGAGATGCCCACTAGCTACAAAGCCATGTTTTATGCTGACCAGCCCCTGCAAGCATTCCACAGCAGTCCCTCCCCAACCCCTGCATTGAGGTACTAGAGTGAGCCCAAATGAAAGCCTTAGCTGGGCATGGTGTTTCATGCCTATAATCCTACTAGTTGAGAGGCAGAGATCAGAAGGATAATGGTTCAAGGCCAGCCAGGGCAAAAATTTCTCAAGACCTCATCTCAACCAATAAAACCTCGGCAAGGTGGCACACACCTATCATCCCTGCTACATAGGAAGCATTAAGTAGGAGGTTTGCAGTCCACACTGGCCTAGGCATAAATGCAAGGCTCTATTTCAAAAATAACCAAAGCAGAAAGGGCCAGGGTGTGGCTCAAGTGGTAAAGTGTCTGTCTAGCAAGCACGAGGCCGTGAGTTCAAACTCCAGTATGGCTTTCAAACAAAAGCCTTAATTTCCTGGCCCTGCTCAGTCTCAGCTACTCATTGGTCTAATCGCCACACTTTTTTTTGGTGGGGGGGCATGGGTACTGCGGCTTGAACTCAGGGCCTCCACCTTAAGCCACTCCACTAGCCCATTTTTGTGTTGGGTATGTTTGAAATAGGGTCTCATGAACTATTTGCCCAGGCTGGCTTCGAACCACGATCCTCCTGATCTTTGCCTCCTGAGTAGGTAGGATTACAGGTGTGAGCCACTGTGTCCAGCCTAATCTCCACATCTAAAAGCACTCACTTTCTTGCTCTCAACTCCTAGACCACCCAGCTTAATTTTCAATGAGGCTAGAAGGAAAAGCTCCTTCTGTGCTCTACGGGAAGCCAAGGAGCCATGTGAACAGCCATGTCATAGGTTACAGAATCTTCAACCCAAACTAGCTTAAGCAAGAAAGAGAAAATTTAGCTCACATGATAGCCCTGGCTAGGGCTTGATCAAGGTATTGAATTATGTCACTAGAGCAAGTCTTCTCTCTTTCCCTCCTTTACTTCTTGGACATTGGCTCTATCTCTGACAACCTTTCTGCTTGTGGAGCAGATAGTTGCTGCTTTTCTGGGTTCACGTGGTTCTTACTGACATCAAATGTAAATGAGTCTCAGCCTGTCTCCCAGCAGTCCCAGAAGAGCCTCAGTGCATCTCATTAACTTTGACTGGAACACAATCCTATCCTCAACCGGCCTTGTGGCCAGGGGTAACACATAATCTGATTGGCCATGCTCACACGGAGGTGGGCGTTCTTCATACCACCTGAAACTAATGTGGATCAGAAGGGGAGAAGCAAATCCCTAGAAGAAAACTGGGATGCTATTATCAGAAGGGAAATGGTGCAGAAAGGCCACAACACAGTATGTCCCTGCTTCAATCAATGTTTTCTTGTTGGTTTTATTTTTTGGCAGTACTGGGGTTTGAAATTAAGTCCTTACACATAGCTAGGCAGGTACACTACCAGTTAAGTCCCACCACTAGCTTGATGTTTTTCTTAATTCTAAATGTACTCTTACATCCTTTGGTGACATGATGATTGCTGCAGTAAGGGAAGAGTGGCTGGGCTCCAGTGGCTCATGCCTGTAATCTTAGTTACTTGGGAGGCTGAAATCATGAGGATTGTGGTTTGAGGCCATTCGGGGCAAATAGAGACTACAGATCTAAAATAACCAGAGCAAACTGGACTGGAGGTGTGGTTCAAGTGGTAGAGTGCCTGCTTTGTAAGTGCAAACCCCAATCCCACCAAAATAAACAAAAAAAGAGCAGTGCCAGAGGTGCCCACGTAGGGCTTCCTGCATCCTGTGAGCCTCAATTGCCTGTGTGAAATGGAAAGCAGAGGTGAGGCCAGCCTGAGTTAAGGGTGATGAACTCAGAGTAGGTTCCCTTAACCAGTAGTGGCAGCATCACCTGGGAACTTGTTAGAAATACACATTCCCAGGCCCCATCCCAGACTTACTGAACTGGAACCTTGGGAATGGAGCAAGCCTCCAGGTAACTGTGATACACACTGAAGTCTGAGAACCCCCAGGTCAGGACTCTGCTGCTCAAAGCCTGCTCCGTGAACTGCAGCATGGGCCTCGCCTGGAAGTTTGTTAGGACTGCAGAAAGCTCCAGACCTGGGTTAGAATCAGCATGTTCAACAAGACCCCTGCAATCCATATGCTTATTAAAGTTTGATAAGTGCCAGGTTTGGGGTCTTGAAGAGAACAGACCAGGAGAATTGTTTCCATTTGACAACCTGCGCACAAGGACTGCCAAACAGTGGCACTTGGGCTTGTGGCCCCCATGTCTAATGGCCCGATCCCAAGTGTGTGGTCTTTCTCCAGCAGCCCTTAGGCAGCTCAAGCATAGAAGCAAGTCCCACCTTCAGGTCAACTTGAGCTTGGAGGTGAGCAGAGCAGACAGGTCAGAAAGGCTCCTCCTTACATCTGCCCACTCTTCTTAGCTAAGAGATTCAGAGAGAATAAAAATCTGTCCTGTAGCTGGGCACCCATGGTTCACGCCTGTAATCCTAGCTACTTGGGAGGCTGAGATTGGGAGGTTCATGATTTGAGGCTAGCCCAAATAGTTTGCAAGACCCCATCTCCAAAATAACCAGAGCAAAATGTGGTGGAGATGTGGCTCAAGTGCTAGAGTACCTGCTTTGTAAGCTCAAAGCCCTGAGTTCAAACCCCAGTCGCACCAAAAGAAAAAAAAAATCTGTCTTGTGATAGGTCATAGTCATTCATGTGGGAGTTACTCTTTGGCTTCCTGTTCAAGTGCTCTGAAAGTTTACTTCCCAGTAGCAAGCATTAGTGTCACTGGGGAAGGCCATATTGTCCTAAGTTTTCTGTAAGATTGTGTCTCCATCTTTCCTGGCAGAAGATTGAGAATTTGCCAAGCTAGCTAGCATCAAAAAGGCTAAGAAACACTGCACTGAATTCTGTATTTGTTTAAAATAGATTGGTTGGAGGAAAACTACTGGTTAGGGGAATCATCCTCAAGTTCCTGTTCACTTAAATAGTTAATAATTTTATTATTGTTGTACTGGGGGTTCTTACAAGATACCATAGTTGAATTCTCCCCTTCATCATTCTCCTTTATCCTCCCTCACCCCATGATTACTAATTTTAGATGAAAAAAACCCCAAACCTTAATATATGAATTTTACACAAACTTTTTTTTTTTTTTTCAGACAAGGTCTCTCTATATAGTACAGGCTGATCTTGAACTGGTGATCCTCCTGCCTCAGAGACTCCTGAGTGCTGGGATTATAGGTGTGCACCACCACACTTTTTAAAAGGAAAGTACAAATTGAACACATCTTTTGTACAAGCAAAACTGTGTAAGCAAAATGAAACAGCAAGCATTGTAAGTTAAATTGTACTTAACTTTCAATACTAATGACCAGAAACATAAAAATAAAAGAATCTGACACTTGAAGTTAAAGGACATTTTATTTACTGACAGATAAAAAACCAGAACTCTAGGCAGTGCAAAATGCACCACTGACCCTAAATTACAAAGAACTGGTGTTAATGTACAATGTTTAAGCAATGCTACACTTATTTTTGGCAAAGTGCTGTATTGTTCACTCTGTATAAAACTGACCATCTATGAACCAATCAGTATAAAAAATTTCTATAAAAACAAAAAATATTAAGAAAGTGGCTCAAGAAAACAAGCTGCCATTTATGCATAGATTGATGTACAGTATATAACCGAACCAAATGTCCCTTTTGAGTTTTCAAGTTGATGAAAATATGTGTCTAGAAACACATTAAGAAGGCACATAGTACAATCGACAATACTCTTCAGTCTCTAGAACCGATGCCCTGCCCTTGAAAGCAAATGTGTTCACAATTTTACTTGAGGAAAAAATAAAGCCACTTCTTAAAATATAACACACACAATTATTGATTAAAATTCAAACCTGTGGAGGAAAACACAACCAAAAAGGAAACAAAACCACTCACACACTTGAAGCCTGAAAATACACACATCTAACCTCTCCAAACACTGGTTTGGTTTTTACACAAGTCCACCTAGAAAACAAACAATACTAAAACTTCAGGCAAACATAGAGCCAAACTGGGCACTTAACAATTATAAATGTCACAAGGAATATTCTCAATGATACACAAAACATTATTCACTTGAGCTGCTTTCCTCTGAGTAGTAACTTCTCCTCCCACATAAAGGACACTGTTGCACATAAGAAAAGATAAACTTATCTGTGTGCCTTCTTCCACCTACACCTTTAATTGGTGTCAAATTTCAAGTGAAATTGGTACGTGGTAAGGCCAAACCCACTGTATCATGTAGGTTTTCTAAATAAAGCGTTTTATATAAAAATTTAAGCACTACAATGAGTAGATAGAGATGCCATTTATAATATATCAGCATGCTGATGGCAGTGAAACCATCTATTATAGGAGCCCAATTTTAAAGAGTTTAACCATTATTTATGGGCCTTGTAAAATAAAAAGCTAATTTCAAGGTAACATTACAAAGATATACTAGTATCTCCCAGTATAAGGAGCAGTCTCGTAACTGATGCTAAAACAAAAACTAATGCTTAGAAACTTTTCCACTAATGTATTTAGGTGTAAATGTCTATCTTCTAGTTGGAGTCCTTCATTTTTCTTTCTTTTTTTTTTTGTTTTTTTGTTTATGTTCAACTCAAAGAAAATGAGGATAATGAAGATACTTTTTCCTGCTCTTTTTTCTTACAGTATATAATGACAATATGTTTACTTGAGGAGGAAGAGAAATAGCAAAGAAATTCCAATTTCAACAAAAACAAAGATTATAAACCAGTGTACTATACAGATTTGAGAAGCAAAAATAATAGGAATTGCTGAATGGCCCTCTCAAATTTTAAGTAAACTATCTTCTGGCTAAAATTAAAGAACTGATAAAACAGAGAAGGTATGTAAACACGAACAATTTGCATGAGAGTTGGAAACATATACAGGAAATTAATATTGAAACAAACAAACAGCTCCCTGCAATGGGAAGTCAGAAGTCCAATCGTGTGCATCTCTGCAAATCCCACCCACCCATTCCGATCCATTGCCAGGAAAGATAAATAATGGATGGCCAGTTTTCAACTCACAGTGCAGAACTAACCCAATCAGCCAAGGAAGAAAAAGTAATAAACATATTTACTCATAATACATTCTGAAATGTTTTATTAGCAAATCAAACTTTGAAGAATGTGGTGTACGGTAAAAGCTCAGAAGCTCACTAGTGAAGCACTGCCAACACACACCACATAGTCTAGACTTGTTCCAAGTCACATTCTATGTTATCAGTTCAGAAATGGTCAGTGCTACTAAATTCAGAGGGGTCTTATTTCTTACTGCTTGAATTTTTAAGTAATATGCACTAAAGAACATTGTAAGACACTAACAGTTACAATAATAAAAACAGCAAGTCAACTCATAAAATGCATTTTGGCCATGTTTCAAAAAATACTTAACAGGTCAACATTGTTCTGCTTTATTATTGGCCTTGTGTCTTATACACAATAGATGCCTAAGAAACATCTAATGACCAAAAAATTTCAACTGAACTATGTATCCATTTTCTTCAACTCTTACATGTGCCGATTTTAGACAGAAACCTTAGATACTGACACAGAAACCACAGTGAGCTATCACAGATGGCATGGTAATCCTAACCCTGAAAAAAAATGTCCCCATGACAACACTTTTTTGTTTTCCAGGAACAAAGCATAAAAAACTAGGCCCAGATAAGCCAAACAAAAAGTCAGTAACTGATAGAGATATAAATGTATTTAAGGTATCAAGAAATCTGAAAAAAAGTAGTAATGAAAAAAAAAAAGACCTTTGCAGTTTTATATACAAATCTGTTCACACTGCCAAACAAATTCCCATGGCTGAACTTCTAGCTGGTGAGGTACTAGTAACCTGCATGCGGTGTAAGACAAGAGGCCCCATGTTTTCAGAGGCTCACATCCAGAAGACATTTAGCTGGTCTATTTTCAAGTTACAAATGTATGGCCCTAGAACAGACATGGTGTAAAACATACACACCTTCATGAAAACTACCTCATCTCCCAACTCTCGTAAACACAAGTAGTAACAAATAACTTCTCAGTTTGACAAAACTTTACAAACTTGGCCCCTAATTAGAAAACAAATAAATAAAAGGGAGAGTTAATAGGGAAGGGGGATAAGGGAAGAAAAGGGACCTAGATTCTTGTTCTAAGGAGACATCCTGGCACTTTATCACAGCCAGTGAAGATAAACCTAAACCACCATCTAACTCCATTTGACCTCTTTCAACTCTGCCTGCCCTGGCCTAGTCAGGAAGGAGCACAGCTCGTTCCTGAAAGTCTGTCAGGTCTCCCCACATCAAGCTGCTGCAGGGTCACTGAGTAATGTAATCTACTTCACAAAACTACCTGCTGCTTTTCTTTTTGAAAGCATTTTACACACGTGTGCTCATTGAATTAGGGTTGCCGAGGAGACGGAAAAATAAACTGATTATGCAGGCAATGCTACTGTTCTGTCAGTACAATGTGCTTTGAACTAGAAATGTATTCAGTTAATTTCTGAGGAAGTTGGTGAGAGTGTGGATGGCTCAGCAAAACCCCTCACAACTGCTAAAAAAGTAAAGTGACTGACTAGAGGTAAGAAAATAGACTTTCCTCTGTGTAGAGTTAACTGGCCTATGTGAGTCGAACCCTGCGCCCTGGCCTCATTAGCACCAACACTGTGAAGAACAATTGTGGCCGAAAAACTGCCACAGCCTCACCACCACTAGGTTCAGTAGAAAGGCCCTTGGTCGTTCATGCAAGGTTCATTTCTGGATAGCCCCACTTCCAATCAGTATATAGTCCTTCCAACTGTGAGGGAGGTAAATATTACCCCCTGTTGTAGAGGAAATAGAGGCCAAAGTGGTTAAAGATTTTGCCTGAAGTTAAAATGAAAACTGAGGGAAACCAACCTGTCACTTCACTTTGGTGCTATGAAAAGACATCACCAGAAACTTCCTCTCCCTTGCATGTCCCTTGGGAAGACGGGCTCCATGTCAGAGGATTATCTACTGTTATCCCTTTTCTCATGGACAGATAGAAATATTAAGTCACTCAGGTGCCTGGACAAGTACTTTTGAATTTACAGATGATGTGAGGGGGAGTAGGCAGAGATGGCAGGAAAGAATGCAAACAATTTAAAAACTGGACTAATGAGTTACTTATACACATGAAGATTCCAAATGAATTTCACAGGTCTAATTTCTTCCCTCTGCACACAAGACAAGTTCTTTTGTCCATGACACCTGTAATATCTGTACCACATCATGGAGTCATAAAATTACTGAATGTACTATTCACTGAAGCTTAATGTACCTGAATTCCACAATGAACTCATGACTAATCTGGAGAAAACCATACATACAGAAATATATCAAGTTTTCTTTCAAAAGAAAGTCCAGCCATAATTCCATTGTATCCATGGCAACTATCACCTGTTAATGCTCATGTTAGTGTGTAAAATGTACTCGTTATATACAGAAAAGATTATCAAGTACTGGTCAATAAAGTGTATGGCTGACCCTGAGAATAAATTTTTGCTTACTCAAAAGATTGATTAAGTAATACAAAATAAAATGAAACTGAAAGATGCCTATTCTTGTACTTGGGGGGAGAAACATCTTTAAGATGCTGATTAACTCATGTACACCTTAACCAGATTTAAAGACATCCCCAAACACCAAACACTGTAATTGTATTGATATGTTTCCAAAAATATTCTGAAAAAGTCTAGAAAAAAAAAAGAGTAAGTGTTAGGAGAAAGGCATTACATGAAGCACAGCATAGAAATCTGGCTTTAAGACAGTGTCTAAACACTCTCGCCAGTGTGACCAGTCAGCAGTTGGCTGTGAAGGGACAGCATTATCATCGTGCAAACATGCATCTCCACGTACACATGCACGAACCAACAGACACCAACCAGCAAACCTTGAAATTCTTAGTAATTGTACTGCCGTGGGCAGGGCTGGTGAACCACCCAGCCATTGTGCTTCACTTGCCGGGAGTGGCAATCCTTGGTAAGATTTTGGCGACGAAGGCTATTTCTGTTCAGAGACTGTCTTTCGCTGTGTTCTTTTATCCACTGGGAAGGGCGGAAGCTCTTGGGCTGTTGCAGAAAAGTTGCATGAGCAGCAAGGGCTGCAACGTAGCAGTGAAGGTGCTGCCCCACTTCACCTTCAGCTTCCACTCTGAAACAGAGAAGAGTGGGAGGTATTAGACAACTGAAAAAGTTACTCAGCAATTGAGTTTGCCACATTCGTTTGTTCATGGTTGGATAACAGCTTAGTGTCTGATGACAGTCAAATTTATATTCTGTGACCACACTGACTGATAGTGGTGGAAGGGAGAAACAAACGTTTTTCTTTTTTTTTTGAGACAGGGTCATGCTAAATTGCTCAAGCTAGCCTCAAATTGGTGATCCTCTTCCTCCAGCCTCTCATGCTGGGATTACAGGCATGCAGCACCACATTTGGCCAACAAGTCAACTTTTAATAGAAACATGCCATGTAGTCCAGAAACAGTTAAGTAGACTATTTGAGTGAACTTAAGTAAACTTTTCTGGGAGGGGAACTAGTATCTATTGAATATCAGCATATGCCAACTCTTGTGCAAATATTATCTATTTTTATTCTCATCATCATCTTAAAAAGAAAACATTTTAATTCCCAAATTACACTGATCAGAAAATATTATACCAATAGCATCTTCACAGGTACTTTATGTCTACAAGTAAAATGTGCTAGGAAACATTTAAAATCTCTGTATTTCACAGAAATACATATAAGGAAATTCCACTGATTTAACATTTTCTAGGTAAGAAACCACTGCTTATAGAAAGCAATTCATAAGGTTCTTTTGTTGTTGTTCTTTTGTTTGTTTTGTGAGACTGGAGTTTGAACTTAAGGCTTTGTGCTTGCAAAGCAGATGCTCTACACTTAAGCCATACCTCCAGTCCATTTTTGCTCTGGTTACTTTGGAGATGTGATCTCATGAACTATTTGCCTGGGCTGGCCTCTAACCATGATTCTCCCTATCTCAGCCTTCCAAGTAGCTAAGATTACAGGCGTGAGCCACTGGCATCCAGGCTGGCTTCGTAAGTTTTTATTTGTATCACAACAAGCACGTTTTCGAATGGCATTTACACAGTAATGTTTAAAGACCCTCCAGGAACACGTGATCTTAAGATATGGCTACACACAGTATGGTTATTGCATGTTTTCTACATTAAAACTAGTGGAGTAGGATGATCTAAACTATATTAACATAAAACATACAGAGAGTTTTTTTGGCAGGGCTAGAGAGCAGACCCAGTCCTTGTGCGTGATGGGCAAGTGCTCGCCCACTGAGTTACATTCCCAGCCCAAATTTTAAGATTTTAAAGTTATTTTATTTAAGGGCAGTTACATAGTCTACCTGAAATCACTTGAGGAAAACACTATTATCTTTTAAAACACACCCGCACACACACACATACACACTTAAAGTAGAATTAAAACATGTTCTGTTAAGAAACTAATGGAGAACTGGGAGTGTAGGTCAGTGGTAGAAAGCTTGCCTGGCATGCACGAGAGCCCCTGGGTTCAATCCACTAGCGTAAGGAAAGAAAGGAAGGAGGGAGGGAGGAGAGAAGGGAAGGAAGCAAGGGAGGAAAGAAATTTTTTAAAAAGGAAGGAAGGAGGCTAGGAGAAGTTAGCATAAAAAAGTGGTTCTTTAAAGGCGGGCATTTGCGTCCCTAGCCTGCTGCGCAGACTGATAGATAACACAGATCATACAGTCTCAAATTGAATGTACTTACTCTGTGCCCGTGAGTCTTATAAGCAGCTTTTCCTGGCCCTACAAATGTTAAATGGTGAACTATTAAATCACTAGCAAGATTTAAAATGCTGTTTTAGTTTTACTGTTAGGACGTGGGTCAACTTTTCTTTATTAAAACTGATTTACTATGTGTCATTAATGATACACATATCACTTAAGATTGTTAACAGCTCATAACCTTCACAAACAGTACTTATAAATGCTAAAATGCAATAAAACTTAGCACTCTGAAACCCATTGCAATTGTGAAGCATCTTACTTTTTACTTGTGGTAAAAAGTATCCCGAGGAGACAGAATGGAAGCAATGTAACTTTTGAAATACATGTTTTATTGCCTGCTCAGAAAACAGATGTTTACTACGTAGTTATCCTCCTAATTTTGGTAATGCTTGATTCTATGTCTCTCTCTCTCACTCACTCTCTCTCTCTCTCTCTCTGCATATGTGTGTGTGTGTGTGTGTGTGTGTGTGTGTTTTACTGGAGATTGAACCCAGGGTCTCATGCAGGCTAGGCAGATGTTCTACGACTGAACTACACTCCCAGTACTCAGCTTCTCCAATCCTGGGATTACAGATGTGCTCTACCACACTCATCCCTATGGGCCTTTCCATTTTCTTTGGTGGTACTGGGTTTGAACTCAGGGCCTCATGCTTGCTAAGTAGGCACTCTACCACTTGAGCCACTCTGCCAGCCCCCTAAGTGGGCCTTTCTTACAAGACTTTCAAATCCAAAAATAAAGATGTTTAAACAAAACAAATTTAGTTACTATTATAAAACTATAATTACTAGCAAGACTTTCTTATGCACAGAAAGAATTAGTATAAAGTTCAGTGTATTCTTTTGGCAGTTTATTTATGGGAAAGTACCTATTTGTTTAACTCTCCCATAAGTTACATTTATAGTCTATGAATGCAAAAATAAAATATGAGACAACTTTCTCACTGCCTCAAACTGAAAACATGTAACAGCAAGTGCATGCATGGTCCTGGATTGGATGCGTTTGGATAAGCTTGGTTCTCTAAGAAAATCTGAATATGAAGTTGATAAAGTTAAAAAGTCACTGACGTGAAATGGTGGAACAAGTAGGCTATAAAATAGTGCATACTGTGTGATCCCACTGGGTTAAAAGTGTGTATGTGTGGGCACATACAGAGGCAATCTGGAAGGCTATATCCTGAGTGTTAATAGGATTTGTCTTTGGGTCATTTCAGGTTTGAAAATTTTTACGTATTTGCATTTTCTGCAATACATATGTACTGCTCTTGTAACAGTACGTTATTTTACAAAGCTGCCAATGGCACACACATACGCACTTTAAACACTGAGAAGTAAATATAGAAGTACCAGTAAGTTTAAACTATTCTAAATTCTTGAGTGGATTCCTCTGAGGTAAGATCAGAATTAAGAGGGAAGAATTTTTAAGAACTTAAGAATTTAAAGCAAGTATAAAACAAATCAATACCACCTCCAAAATGTACTTCATTTAACATTTTAAATTTTTCTTGGAATGCCTGAAGTGTTGACTCTTGACAAAATTATGGGGCTGAATAAAGTGCCATTTCCCACCAAAGATCTTACCTGGTCTATGCCTGTTTTGGTATAGGCAAAATGAAGTATGTTTAGCCTTGTAAAACGTCATCTATAATACTGAGACTTGAGAGTGCAGCCAACTCTGGTAAAGCTAAATTGAAGAGCTTCCTTGTTTATAGTTGGCAAGCAGGAAACAAGTGCCCTTAGGACAGTGCTAATCATAAGAATATTCTGCAGTGCTCCAAAAAATCCAAATTCACCTGGTATCTTGACCTAAGAGAATAAGTCAGTGCTGATGTTCCCAAAGTGCCTTTTTTGTGGGAGGAAGGATACTGGGGTTTGAACTCAGGGCTTCACACTTGCTAGGCATGCACTCTACCACTTGAGCCACTCCGGCAGCCCTGTTTTTGTATTGGGTTTTTTCGAGATAGGGTCTCATGAACTATTTTCCTGGACTGGCTTCAAACTGTGATCCTCCTGATCTCTGCATCCTGAGTAGCAAGGATTACAGGCGTGAGCCACTGGCACCCAGTCCCAAAGTGCTTTAATATTACAGAAAACATTCCACTGAAGTACATGATGGACTAGCTGGTCTCTGAGCTGATTAAGATGATGGTGGGAGCCGGGCGCCGGTGGCTCATGCCTGTAATCCTAGCTCCCAGGAGGCAGAAATCAGGATCGTGGTTCAAAGTCAGCCTGGGCAAATAGTTCGTGAGACCCTATCTTGAAAAACCCATCACAAAAAAGACCTGGTGGAATGGCTTGAAGTTTAGGCCCTGAGTGCAAGCCCCAGTACCACAAAAAAAAAAAAAAAATGATGTTAGGGCTTTATTTCACTGGTGGGAGCAATCTCAAATATATTCCCTGGATATGTTCTCTTGGTAACAGCCACAGAATGTCTGGAGGTTTAACTTGGAACATCCTAATCTTCACTGACTGAACACTCTCCCTGAACTTGCCAGGTCCTCATCCACCTGCCATTCAAACAGGGCACTTCAACAACCCAGGTTCCTCATACAACAACGAAACATTCTGGTGTGAAACCTTTCCTCTTCAAGGCACAAGACAACTCTTTGAGCAAATGTTTTGATAAAATTGTCCTTTCTGCTTAATATTTCTTAGGTTTTCAAGATTAAGCATGATTTAATGTGAACTATCTAGGGATGTGTGTAAGAAAGTATGAGTTTTAGGTTAAGATATACTATTCTAGTTGAATCTGACACCCTAAATTATTCAGTCTATTACGTGCAAAATTATGTCCTAAGATCTGAGCAGAAATGTCAGTCTTTTATTTCTCTTCAGTAGCAGAATTTTATAAATGAGATAGCTCTCTTACTGTATTACTGGGGTCATACTACAACTAACTTTTCAAAAAAATTTAAAACGAACACTGGGATTTTTTTGTTGTCATATAGATCAGATTGGTCTGGAATTTGCTATGAAGCTCAGGCTTATAATCCTCAAACTTGTAATCCTACTGCGTTAGCCTCCTGAGTGCTGGTACTACAGGCATGTGCCACCCCCCAGCCCTGAACAGTTGTTTTTTTTTTTAATACCATTGATCACTTGTGCACTAATGTACATGCTTTTATAATTTCTAACAAGATTATTTTTCTATCTTCTAAAGCCTTAGCTGTGAACTATCATAGAAATAAAATACATGCTTAGCAGACTGCTTTGGAGTAAAATACTTGCAACATACCTGGGACTACTTGAATTATGAGCATCATCAGTCCCACTGCTGGCCTCACTAAGACCAGGGCAGGAGTTATGCACAGCATAGACAGACATGCTGGGATGTTCAATGAGAAGGTTTTCCATAGGACTCGTTTCCACCTTGATAGTGGTTAATCCACCTGCTGTAAAACATGGGGGAGGGTGATAAACCAGCTCTCCTCCATTGGACAGGACTCAAACTGCAGGAAGCAGGAATCACTTGTATCAGCTAAGCACTCCAGAGATGCAGGTAAACAGGAGAAAACTGAAGGGTGCTCTGCAGGTGACTCTTCACTTATGTCGTCTTCTTCCTCTTCATCTTCTTCTGCTGAGAAACCAGTGCAAGTGTCTAGATCGTAGTCCACGTCATAGTTCAGATGCATGTTGAACGTCCCATGGGAGGATAATTTTCACATTGGGCAGCCATAACAGAGCCACCCATCAAATTCACAGCACAGAAAAAGGAGAGATAATACGATTAGCTGATGCTTACATCCCTCTCTTTAGTGCAGAAAAAACCATTTATATTCACTCATGATGACTTTAAAATAATTTCTGTGTGTGTGTGTGTGTTTGTGTGTGTGTAGTGGATTACATTGAGTTTGCAGAAGGGGGTTTGGGACTGTTTCTATTCTGCTGAAAAAACATAATGGACCATATGTTTTAATGCATGTTTAATGTGAGGGTTTCCTATTAAAGTGCCCCTGACTGGATCAGGCTGTATGAGTTGCAAAACTGGAAAGGCTGACATCAATTTCAGTGACTCGTCATCTGGCACAAAATGATTCCTGAATTTTTTTTTAAGAAAAATTCTTGTGTATTTACTTTTAAGGCTTAAAAGTAAATGTTGTGAAGATTAACTGCTGGGTATACCTTACCTATGAAGTCGACAAGAATCCATTCATCATCTTCCTTCTCACTGAATTCTGGCTCTTGGTTAGAAGTACTGACATCGCCCACAAACATTTTATTCAGCCTCTGGAACATTGTTAAGGCAAGACTGAGACTTTGGCTGGATGTCTTTATAGCTGAGATTTCTAAACCCTGTCTTTAGTTGGCCTGATGGCTCGGACAGGAGATTAAAGTGCACAGGGTGCTTATTCAACTTAGGTGAGAAGCAAGAACAGTCATTATCCCTAAAATAAAACAGAAAAAGAGGGTTATTTCCAATCAGTGTATGTTTTACAAATACACACACACACATGCCCTTATAAAAAAGCCTAAGCCTTAGCCTTCTACAGCTCTTCCCCTCCTGCAGAGTCAAACATGACACATACAACCTTTCTTATTTGCAAAACATCGTAAACTGAGTACTTAAATGCAACCAGTAAATATCTAACAATGTGCCAGGTGTGGTGGCACTCCTTCCAGGAAGCCAAGGCAGGAGGATCAAGAGTTCAAGGCCAGACTGGGCTACACAGCAAGACTGTCTAACAAAACAACAAAAACCTATACTGTGAAATAAAGAGTTAGGTTTTTTTCATGTCTATGGTTTTGTAACATGAATGTGAATGATGTATTTCAAACTGTAATACCCATTTTCTGTAAGTAGAAGAACAAAATTATATATTAACAGTCTTGTTATATGATACTCAGTTGCCCAGTAGTATTGAAATGAACCTGGCAACAGTGTCTGGCTTCCAGAATAATGGTCATCATATGCCAGGCCCTCATCTTCTCTGACTTACTTTCCTTTCTGTTCTATACTTCCTGCATATGACTTTAAGGATACCTAATTACATTAAAAATTTATAAACAGCATATTTTGGTTTTCAAAACAATTCCTTCAGCTGGCATGAAGAAATTTACATTATAGAAAACTGAGCAGGTAGCAACCAGAACTGGAGACACAATTCCTTGTGTAGTGGCTCAGCAGGTGGGTGTTGGATTCACTGTGCCTGCCAGGGCACAAATCCTGGCTCTCCATTTACTTTAAGATTTAGGAAGGTACACAATTTCAACTGGTAAGAGTTCTTACCTTGGGGAGTTCTGGTGAGTTATAAGTGAAGAACTCAGCTTACTTGAGTTCCAGATTAATATACCCATTTTTACCTAATTTTTCTGATAGCATATACAACTGAACACCTATCAAGAACTTTACATTTTTCCCCATGAATGTATTCCTACACATTGCCCTCCATCCCCTTCTCAATAAGTAGCAGCAGCCTGAGCAGTTATTAAGGCAGAAAATCTAGCAATTGCTCTTGACTACTTTTGCTGCCTCCCACTAACCCTCGGCTACCCACTCAGCCCCTCGTCCAAACTACCAGCAAGTCCTGTGGACATGCTGTACATGTAGCTCAAACCCACCTTCTGTCCTCCATCACTCTCATTTCTAGTTTAAGCAACCTGCTGTCTCTTCAGCATTCTGCCAAAACCACCTCCTACAATCAGTCTCCCTTATTAAATGAGATCACACAGGCAACATGGCTTTACTAGGTAACTGGCACAAAATTCTCTGTCCATGGCAAGTGTCATTCTACACATACTCACTAGTACCCATTATGCATCATTTGTAGTGCTGAAAGCTGTAATATTAGGGAGTTCTCAGACCATTCTAGGTACACTCCTGCAGTAAATGGCTGAGAAGATCAGGAATGGGGGGGCGAGGGAAGAAAAGAACACTATGGAAGCACACAGATGTGTGTGAATGTGGTACCTTCCGTTTCAACATCCAGGCAGAATAATCCTAGATATTCAGGAGGCAGAGATCAGCAGGATCTCGGTTCAAAATCAGCCTAGGCAAATAGTTCATGAGACCCTATCCTGAAAATACCAAACACAAAAATGGGGCAGGTGGAGTGGCTCAAGTGGTACAGCACCCACATAGCAAGTGTGAAACTGACTTCAAACCCCATACTGAAAAAAAGAAAAGATCCAGGCAGCCACAAACCAGTGTGATGATGCATGCCTGTAATTACAGCACATGGGAGGCTGGGGTGTGAGGATTTTGAGTTTGAGGCCAGCCTGGGCTACATAGCAACTTCACGGACATCCCGAGATATGTAGCAAGACAACAGCCACAGCCAGGCACCAGTGGCTCACACCTAAAATCCTAGCTACTCAGGAGGAGTAGCTGATCTCAGGAGGTTTGAGCTGATCTCTGGATCAGGAAGGTTGCTGATGTGGTGAATCTGAGGGAATACGCATGACTGGAGATGTCTAGTAGGCAGTGGAGTATTTGGAATTAAGGAAAGTAGTCTCGGAGGGGTGCAGGCTTGGGAGTTGTCAATACAAAGAGGGTGATAGAAATATCACAAGCATCAATCTCGAATCCCTAGCTTTGGGCTCTTGACATTACACTTTTAAAATAAACAATCTTCAGCCATGAAGATTGAGCTGCATAGCTGTGAGACTCCTGGTTCAATGCCTCACATATAAAATGGGCTGTCACAATTGTTTGGCATACTACTACAAGAGTAAAATATTTCAAATAAATGACAGCAAGACACTTTGTAGTCATAATTCATCATCCTCAGCCATTAATTATTAACAGCAGATAAACAGGAAGTTATCACTTGTATAACCAGTCCTCCTGAACCCTTCTGGAAAGCAGTATGGTCAAATTATGAAGACTGGAGATCTACTAGGAGGACTCAAATTCAGCTGTGTTCCACGAGAGAAATTAAGAAGGAAAGTGGCTGTGTAGCTTGCCTGATCAATTGTGGTGTGACAGTTGTAGCCCAAAGAATGATCCATCTATCACAAGGTCTGGTGTAAATGAAGGTTTTTGAGGCTATAAACCAGGATGAAAAAATCTTTTTCCCATTTCTCTTAGGTTGTGGAGGCAGATATTGGCCCCCAAATATGATCCTGTGTCTGCTGAGCCAGATGAGAGGAGATCCGCAACTCCCCAGAGCACGAGGCTGGACTCTGGCCCTACATCAGGTAAGCAGTGGACCCACTAGGAGGGGCACCCCACAGGGGACCCCTTGTTTTTCTTGAATAATGCCTTGTCCCCCACCTGTGATGCTGCCTGAGGGCAAGACACTAGGCCCAGGCTAGGTCAGTGCCAGCTTCTGAGCTCTCCCTCCTGGCTGCAGTTCCCCACCCCACAGTGTGGAGCCTGCAATTGGACAGGCCTCTCCAGAGGAGCACTCTAAGGGAGCATAACTCATGTTCTTCAGAAGTGCCTCCAGGCGCTCTGTGTCCAACCCGGGTGAGCAGCCTGTGCAGAAGCTCTGCCAGGAGATGAGGAACAGCTCATTTTTCACTTCACCTGAGTCACTGATGACATTTACATGACACACCTGTGGGAAGGACACAGAACAGAGTCTGGGGGGGAAGGGTGAAGGATCGCTGGCCTGGGCACAGCAGGAACAGTGCTGGCTCCAGCTCTAACAGGTGGCTGAACTATACAGTTTAGCTCTTCTTGCCTCAGTCTTGCCGTCAGAAAAATGGGCTGATTATGTAGGGCTGCCTCAGGCAGATCCCTACATAATGAAGAGGTGGGGGTGTTTTAACTACGCAAAGGAAAGTTCCTTTAGCCCTGCTTTCTATGTGTCACTAAAACTGTTCAGTGAGGCAGCCACCAGGCAGGCACATTAGGGAATGAGCATATGAAATGGGACTACTGTCATCAAGACTTTGAAATTTAATTTTAACCCATTTAAATTTAAAAGTTGATAATTGAGTCCAATTTTGGAAAACTTTCAACTGCATCTGTAGCAACTATGGTATGTGAATTTACTTTTTTGACTTCAAACTTTATGGCATCTAAATATAGATCAGAATTTCAGTGAGGCCAAAAATGGTGGAACAGGCCTGTAATCGCAGCTAAATAGGAGGCCTATCTTGGAGGATCACAGGTGAAGGCCAGCATCCGCAAAGTTAGCATGAGACCCAACCTAAAACACAAAGTAAAAGCAAAAGAACTGGAAGGATGGCTCAGTGAGTCAGCGCCTGCTTAGCAACTGTGAGACCAAGTTCAGACTGCAGCACTTCAGGGGACGGCCACATGAAGACGGCTTTACAATGTGTGAGACACGCGTTGGTGTATATGTGAAAGAGCAGACCATCTCGTTAATAATTTTCATATTTATTACATGTTCAAGCCATAAACTTTGGATATATTGAGTTCTTAAAATATACTAATAAAATTAATTCCTGTTTCTTTTTCCTTTTTTAATGTGGCTACTGGAAAAATTTAACCACACATGTAGCTCACTGTACATATACACACATAACACACACAGAGGTGGGAAGAGACAAAGACAGAGAGAGAAAGAGTGAGCAAGCTATTTTCCCACTGATGAACCAGAGACTATCCCTGCACAGTAACTACTTTTTGATGGGGCTGGGTCTACCTGGAGCTAGAAGGCAAAGCCCTTCTCTCCTGCCCCTCCTCTCCCTTTTTGTGGACCTGGGGTTTGAACTCAAGGTTTGTGCTTGGTAGACAGGCACTCTACCACTTGAGCCACGCCCCCAGCCTGTCACTATTGACAGTCACAACACTAGGGCAATGTAGTAAAAACTAAAATGAAAGTTCCAGGTGGCCAGTGGCCACGTCTATAATCTAGCTACTCAGGAGGATTGCATTTTAAGTCAGCCCAGGCAAATAGTCCATGAGGCTCTATCTCAAAAAAAACCCATCACAAAAATATGGCTAGTACAGTGGTTCAAGGTGAGGCCCTGAGTTCAAAACTCCAGCAGTACCCCCCCCACACACACACACAAAAGTTGCAGAGAAAGCCTCTCAAGTCGAGCAAATTGACAATTGTAGCTCTAGAATTCAACAAAGAAGGAGAGGTTGGGGGGTCCCGTTGCTGTCCTCTGAGGCAGCCACCAGCTGGAGCTGGAGCTGCCCGCACTGCCCCTCCAGGTAGGGAAAGACACACAGTATCTGCAGCCAGAGGGGTAAGGCAGCTCTCCCAGATACATTGGCTCACAGCACTTCACCCTCCATCTAAAAACAAATATATATTTTTTCATTATAAAATGAACAAAACCACATCAAGAAAGGTTAGAAAATAAATAAAGAACAGTTATTATTCATTGCCTTGCTGCAATTATTAGTATATTGGTACATTTTTACTAGTTCTTTCTTTTACAAATAAAGTTCTTCTTTATCATAGTTGTAGTCCAGTGGATGCCCAATTTGTATCTGAGTTGTTACTTAACATCTTTCTCATGACTTTTTTTTTTTTTTTGCAGTACTGGGTTGAACTCAGGACCTTCACCTGAGTCACTCTACCTGCCCTATTTTTGTGAAGGGTTTTTTGAGATAGGGTCTCACAACTATTTGCAGAGCTGGCCTCAAACCAGTGATCCTCCTTGATCTCAGCCGCCTGAGTAGCTAGATTTTAGGCATGAGCTACTGGCGCCCAACTCATGACTGCTTTTCATCTTATAACATGAATAGAAAGGCTTTGTGGCAGAAAAGTTACTGAGTTTAATAGTTGTGGCAAGGGTATTTTAGTTTGAGAAGTTAGAAATGCAGTTGCAGTTAAGATACTATTAGTATAATTTATTTTC